ACTTTAAGATAGTTAAAAGACAGGGACAGAGTAAAGACGATGACGACAGAAGGCGCTTCTTTTTACTTTGTCTACACTTGCATATGCATATGCATACTAACATTTGCAAATGCAGTGGTGTGTGTCCGAGGATGTGTCCGCGCCAATATCGAGCCAGGGAGACGTTGGACGCCAGGCACTGGGCTGCCGTGGAGCGGTCGCCACCGAGGCAGTGCAGGGTGACCTGGGCTGGTCCTCTTTTGAGGCTCGGGAGGCGTCAAGCAAGATTGCGTACGACGGACGCCTTCGGCTTATAGATAGATGCCGTTGGGCGAAGAGACTGTTTATATACACCAACTTGACTGGTCTGCGGACCCGCTGGCACAAGCGCCTCTATCAACTTCAACACAAGTACGGCTTCTTCTCAAAGCCTGTTGATGGAAGAGGGTCCGAGACTACTAGACCCAACAATGGCTCCAAGACGCCCAAAAAATATCGACGCTGGGGGTGTACCTCGCCAATAAAAAGACCATCGCCTGGAAGTCCGGCTGTATGACAACAGCCTGGGTAACCCCTTCTTGTTCGAGGCACGTGCCGGGGCACTCCGGACGCTGTGTTATAGGCGTCGTTTCGACAACACTGTTACATCAACAACGTGTAGGGTGTGTGGGGTAAACGCTGAAACGGTGGAGCACATCGTGCTAGACTGCGCGAGACTCGAGCTGTCCCGGTCTCAGGACAATGGCCCAAGACTTCCGAAACCCTTAGCTCTCGCTGAAGCGTTGGGCTTCACTGACAGTGAAATCGGACAATTCACAGCAGTCTGCCCAGCTACGGGGCTTGTTGCAGACACGAAGAGGAGACTGGAGGACTGGTGGCAGAAGATCCACCTCAGGGAGCATTAAGACACCTACGCTCCCAGGCTTGGGAACAAACCTTGTTTGAGTCCTACTGATTCAAAGGGAAATAGCCGCATCATCATCATCATCGTCGTCGTCGTCGTCTTTCCTCTGTTTCTGTCTTTTGGCACTTTTAGTGTTTAATAGATCGATCTCACTAAGCGTTTCACGCACGCGTGACACAGCCACAACTTTAATCATTGCCTCCTCTATACTCACAAAGCCTGGCAGTTTGACCATAGAGTGCCCGGTTGTAGATTTGGAGCCCGAGGATCTGGTAGCAGAGAGCATCAAAGAGCCATTTCTCGGGGAACCAGGACGTCAGAGCACAGCTTTTGCAGTGGCGAGGACCCGAAACACACTTGTTCGCTCGGGAGAAGTGTGTTTCGGCGTCTCGCCGCAGCATGGCGCCAGCGCCAGTCAGGTGGCTCCCCTCTCATCCACTGAGCCGTTTATTGAGAGAGTTTGGCCATACATTGGTTTGAATAGGGGAGCATCTCGGGGCCAACCACAGGCCGCGAAACAGCCCCTAGTGGCGGTCGAGTGCTCTAAATATGTGACACGATTAATTTGAGCCGTTTTAGCGTTGCTAGAGTGAAAAGGTTTAGTTCTCGGTGGCTGAAAACTTTGTGCATGTGAGGTTTTAGTGACGCCAATATTCAGGTGTAGAATAAACGAACATGCGCTCCAAACCAGGGCCGACTTGCAAGAAAAAGCGTCTGAGGTGAGAGGGGGAACGAAAGCACAGCCAAAACCAGCGCACGAGCCGAGCGGGACTCCGCGTCTCAAGACGCTCACGCGCCCCACCCTTTGCACTGTTTTCTTTCAGCCAGTGTCAGGACGCTGTTCTAGCAAGCCGGCCCAGAGCGAACTGTCACTATCTGCACAAACATCTGCGGTGCAGACAAAGGCATAGGCACGAGCGTGGCTTTGGAAAGTGCCTCCTATGCACGAGTTTTCGTACAAACAAAAGCGTTTTGCTGAGCTAAGCTCACGCGCCTGCGCCTTTGTCTTCACTGCAGACATTTGTGAGATGGAGTAGAGAGGCCGAGATTGAACGCTTCTATTGCAGGCTTTAAATGCCGTTTGCAATATTAATAGTGGCGTCGCGGTCCCCTGATTGGTCGACGCTGTGTCACAAATTTAGTTTACGCTCTAAGCGTGCGGGGAATATTCGGCGCTGGCGGAGGCCTTTGCTCCGCCTATTGGCCAAACTCTCCCAATACACGGCTCTGACAAACTCAGCAGTGGGCACAGCCATGGTCAACTTTGCATGTGCGGTTGAGCACGTGCTGGCTGCAAGCTTTGCACGCGGTGATGGGACCACTGACCGGTGCCGCTGGCATTTGCAGGTGACTCCGGACGACTTTTTAATCCCAGGATGCATGACCCCCGGCACCGAGATCTACGTGTTCGGACTGCTCTCACCGAATGCCGAAAGGTCCGTATATATGGCAACGCCGTTTTAAATGCGTGGCATTTATTGGCGACTTTCATGGTGTGTTTTTGAACCTACTTTTGACGCTTCTTCTTTAGACCTTAAAGTACCGTGAATATTTGACACGACGTGACATTGTCACGTCGAGTCACGTTGCACCGTGACGCCACGCGACTTAACGACGTCCGTTGACACCGTGAGTCACGCGACATTCGGACGTCACGCAGAAGGATAAACATGGGACCACTTCTAGTAGAAACAAGAAAAACAAAGCGTTTTCGCTAATTATGCCAGAAAGGTTTTCGGGCGATAGAACCAATAAAGCCAGGTTAAGCGGGCGAAACCGCGGGCGTGAAATTAGGTAGAGCTACACGCTTAACGAACTGTCAAAACGAGGAGCTGAACGACTAATCACAGCTATTTTTTTTTCATAGTTATTTTAGTATTTTGTTTTGGAAGAAGAGGAAGACCGAAAGGAAAGTTTTGTATAGGATGATCGAAAGCCATGCTTCTCGACACGACCCTGAGGTCACGCCGCTGTTGTGGCACACACCTTGCGAGGGCAAACCTGGACCTGTTTCTAAGCAGCGTGTTGGTTCATACTCAGTCTTGTACACGTTACTAAAATAAAGTAATCGATTACAATTACTATTACTCTTGGCTAAAAAGTATTCGATTAGATTACTTGATTACTCGACGGCAAAAGTAATTGGACATTACTTAAAGAAGTAATCGTTACTTCTCCGATTACTTTATTGTGTGAAGACGTATCTTTAGCGCTCATAACAATGAACTAGTTCTAACCTATATTTCACATTTGCACAAGTATTGAAGAAGAAAAACTGGCTTCCTCTTCGTGGTCGTTGCACCTTCACAATGCGGACAGAAGCATAGAATTCGTTTGAAGCCGTTTAATGGTTTGGACATGCGCCAGTGTGTGTGTATGTGTGTGTGTGTGGGGGGGGGGGGGGGAGCTTTAGGGGGTTCTAGACCTTGTTAAGCTTGAGCAAGGGTTGTCGCTCAAATTTGCGTCGTTCATTTTATTATTCACATGTGGATGAGCTCGCATGTTCTACAAAAGAGCAGCAGCTCCAGGATTTGAAACAGATCATGTGTAGTATCCATTAGCGGAAGAGATCGCCCCGACCACTTCTCAACTCGAAACATTGCTTGTCACAAAGACCACGTAGGGGAAATGGGGAAATATTTCAACTGCCTTTGTTATATTTTGCATCCGCTTTAGGTATTCTTCGGTTCTGGTTCTCCTACGGGCTGCGAGTAGGTACCCTAAGCAGGATTTTTTTTAATTTTTTTTATTTCGGTGTGTGTGTGTGAGTGAGGGGGCTAGTTTGAACGAAGGACTCACAAAGCTACATTCTGCTTCCTCAAACTTCGCCCTGAATGGCCTTTGTCACGCACTGTGGCTTTCCTGGGGCTTCCCACTCCCAGTCCCAGCTCGAAAAAAAACAAAAAAACAGACATTCCACAGAAACTGTACATAGAAAGAGATTGGCCTCGTTTCCTACAGCTCCGCAAAAATCTTTCTTTTTTCCGTTCAAAAAAAAAAGCAAATTTTTTTTTTTTTATAAAAAAAGGCGTGTGCCGGGGGGGGGGGGGGGGTCCCGTGGACTAATTGTAACGGTTACAAGTAATTTTATTACTTCAAAAAGTAATCAGATTACTCCTGTGATTACTGCCTAATAAAAGTAATCAACTGATTACAAAATTACTCCAAAAAGTAATCGATTACAAGTAATTTGATTACTTGTAATGCGTACGGTACAAGTCTGTTCATACTGCACCACCTTACGAATGGAAAAACCGAACAATGAGCCTCCTTCGGTTATTTCAACCTATGAGACAGGGCACTTGGAACCACGACCCACTGACCTCATGGCCTCGAGTGTGAAAGAGATGAACGCCTCTTGTACCCCGAGGTTGTATAGGATCATTAGAGTGCGATCCCACTTGCCGCCTTTTGATTGACCGAACTCGTTAAATCAGTCACAAACGATCGCTGTCCAAACTGCGCAGTATAGTTAACGCGGGAGCCTTAAAAATTAAACTATCCATTCTTATAGATATAGCATTCCTTGCGGTATGAGTCAACGCGCTGTTTACGAAACAAGCCCGCGTTTGACAACACCAGTTGCTAGAATCTGAACAGTTAGTGAAAAAGTCGACGAAAGATTCGACCGCCATGATTGGCCGGTTCAAACGCAAAGCCGGCCAATCACGGCCACCGAATTCCTCGTGACTTTCTCGCCAGGTGTCCAGATGAGAGCCTCGCAGGTGTGGGCGTGCGCGTGTGCTGAAAAAAAGGATCGTTCGCCTGATCTGAAGCGTCCGCCAACAGCAGCAGCATCATCACCGCATCGATGGGACGCCAAACCCGCGTGCCTGTCTATGAAACTTAGGAGATGAAGATCGCTGCCATTTTGTTTTACTTTCTTTCCACCCTGAATCTTTCATTTCTGCTTAGTGCCTCAACCGTGACGTCATCATTTTGTCCGTTTTCCTCCGTTTCTCGCGCAACACCCTCCAGCATCGAGTTCCTCCTTCGTCCGGAGAAGACCCGAGAGCGCGTGGCGTTGTCCGCGGTCGCCACGCTGTCACCGCATCCGCTGGTCACCCTGAGGAGCTACGTCCACAAGACGTACACGGACCAGAGCAGCGGCGCGGTGGAGCTGTCGCCCGCGGACGCCGTCGTGCTTCGGCTCAAGGCTTACGACGACGGTGTCGCCAAGGTGACATTCCTTCCGTCACCGTCTTTCGTGGCAACACCTTACTTGCCTTACACCAGACTCGTCGGTACTCTCAGAAGTAATCAAACTACTCGTAATCGATTTCTTCTTGGAATAGCTTTGTAATCATTTGATGACTTTTGGATGTACTAAAGTTACTTGGTAGGGTACGTTGTTGGGCTAGTTGGTTCATCTTAGTTAAACATATAAAATAGCGCAATAAACAAGGACAAGAAACATATAGGACAAGCGCTTGTCCTGTATATTTCTTGTCTTTTTTGCGCTATTTCATATGGTTAACTAAAGTTACTTGTAACTGTTACTATTTTCCCCTCCCTTCTTTAATGGCGTTCTTATTGTCTGTACAATCTTGCTACCTAGAAATACTTGAACCAAGACTCCGGCAAGAGAATGGCTTACCAAAAATCGTTGGATTAAGGCCATGGTCCCACTGAATGTGGCAGTTCAGGTACTTTTCGGCAGGTCATTACTCATCTCCTTTTAAATACTGTTTTGTGGGATTGATGTCATTCGAAAGGCAATGCAATCCTCTTTCATTTGATATTATGTGTGTGTTGGTTTTTACTGTTCATGCGCATTTGTAGCGTTGCGAATATGATGGCGCGGACCCTCACTTGCTCCCCTAGTTCATGTTTTATGAACGATCCATTAAAGATAACACGGTTCCAATATAGCAGTTTTGTTAAGATGATGTCGGAGCAGAATGTGACGATACACTTTTTTGGTATTTGCACTACTTTGTTTTTTTCATCCCTCCAAACATTGCCCTAAGATTGACATTTTTTAGCACAAATATGTTTTTAATGACAAGCGCTAGGACAATGAAATTAGCTACAGATGTAGTGCTTATTATTGGTGATATTCAGAAAAAAATTTAATGTTGTGTAAAAATTTTTTGTTTAGATATTTTATATCAAACGTAGCACTTTTTTGTGCTTCGAGTCATGGTACTTCAAATGCCGCTGAGGAAATAATTAAACTATGATAAAATCTTTGATAACATTTAGAGCTACAATGGTTGCCCAAGAGGTGGACGACGGCTTTTTTTCATTTTCAAAGTCATAACGCTCCAGGAGCCCTTCAAACTTACCTGTTTTTGACGCATATCTTTTTTGGACATCAAACAGATTTATTGGCATCTAATAATATTTATTGTTTGGAATAGATATACATTGTGATATATTAAATTTTCACAATGATCTTGCTTTGGTTTATTAATAGGTGTAGAGCTTAGCTAATTTTAAAAACAATTAAAAACTGTTTGGGTGTTTTGTTGCGCTACCTGGCGGATGGCAGACAAACTGCTGATTTCTAATGTTCAAAAAATTTCCGAGGGCGGCGTTGGCGTCTGTATCATCATCAATCTCCGTGTCTTTTTACCTTCACATTAAAAAAATATATTGTAAGATTTACTATCGATAAATGAATGGTTTAAGTAGTGAGTCAGCTTAATAAATCTAAGACAAATAATTACACAAGCGTAGCGTGATATAGTGTGTTCATTATTTGATATGATTGAAATCAATAAACAATAAAGACGAAGAGGAAAAGAATACACCCCAGTTCACTTCATGCCTAGAGTCACTAAGTGAGCTTTAAAGTATCGGCACTCCGTTCCCCAAAAATTGTTTTGGGCGCCGCCATTTTTGGTCTTGTTAAGAGCAAACGCAACGGCCGATCGTCATGATCCGAAAGTACGACTTCCTCAGCATTAGGTGCGGTGCTAGGAAGCTAATGGAATATTACAATGCTCTGTCGCGGGTTGTTTAAACATTTTTGGAGGACGGAAAAGCGTTTCCTGTGATTTTAGATAAAGCTTCAGATAACTGGCAACCATGATTTTAAGCCACAATATGGCCAAGTGTCGTTACTCTGAACCGTAGCTAATTTACTGGCGCAAGCGGGAACAATGAGGAAGAGGTAGGTGTCAAAAGGTAGTTGCTTGTGGAATCCACGGGGCTTACGTCATGGCCCCTCCAGGTATTACAAGCCTCTTCAACAAGAGCATGAATAATGTCATTAAATAAGCTACGCTTTAGAGTAGCGACACTTGACCATATTGTGGCTTACAATCATGGTTGCCAGTTATTTTAAGCTTTTCTGAAATCACAAGTAACGCTTTTCCGTCCTCGACTTTAAACAGTTTGCGACAAAGCAAAGCAACGTTACATGAGCTTCCTAACATCGAATCTAATGCTGAGGATGTCGCCCTTTTGAATCATGACGACCGGCAGTTGCGCCTGCTCTGCACAAGTACCAAAATGGCGGCGTTCACAACACTGTCGGAGAAGTGAGTGCCGATACTCTAAGCGCCGCTCATTTATTGGCTCTAAAGTTCCCGCGAAACTCCTTTTCCCTGACTGAAACTGAAACTAAATACGAATAATACACCATTATTATTGCTTATTTAGTTATAACCAACTACACATAACGAAAGGAGGAAGCGGCCGGGTAGGAAAACGCGGCTTTTATGCGCGACCGTTCTAACCGTCTCAAAAGAGAGAACGCGCGAACTTTCCCTGGTTTAAAAAAGGCATCCAAAGAAAAGAGGCAGCACGCTGTGTTCTTTGTTATTATGCGTCTAATTGCAAATTGTTGTGTGTATGTTTATACAGCCGGAAGTCAGTCTGCCTTAGTGGGCGTCTGGTGCCTCAGCTGTAGATGAGCAATTTAGCCAGTGCGGTACAACCGCAAACCTGGGGTCTTTAACGTGCACCACGCAGTTGGCGACGTGCGCGACCGAAAGCGTCGCTGTGGTCGGCCTTCCACGATTGGCCCAAGAGCTGACTGTGACGTCGGGAAGGGTATACCATCGACGGAAATAAGAGGAATGAAAGAACTTTAATTTTGACGGTGTTGGCAGTGTTCCTTTGAGAGCGCAATGATTTCAAGCTTCCACCATGCTATTTACAAACACCATCGAACTTTTTGTTTGCAAGGTAATGACGTCACAAGGGGGAACCATAGGAGGGCGCCACCAAAACATCTCGCCGCTAGTAGTGATACACGACCGCACGCCGGTACGATGCTCATTAAAGGAGCTGTGCAACGATATTCTGTTGGAATGTTTTTCTCTCTACACGAGCTTACTGGCACACCTGGCACTCAAGGATACTCACACGCAACGCCACTGGCCAAGAGGCTCCTTTGTTGCGGTGTAATTTCAAGGACAAAAGCGATCATTTTCATTCAATCTCTCCTTTGCAAAATTTGATGACGTAACTCGGGGATCGCAGTACACCCAAGTGACGATATTTGAATGCGGTTCATAGATTGGACCCGAGCATTGCGTGGGCACTCGATTTGGGCTCGTGACAATTGCTAGCTCGAGAAGCATTCGGGTTGTGACCCGTGTCCAATCGCTGCAACGACGACAACAGCCGAGCCATAACAATGTCTGGAACTCAGCGCGTGTCCTGCGCTTTGCCAACCCCAGCGCGTGACTGATCAACACTGGCGGCATATAATCGGCTCCAGATCACGTGGCCGCTTGTTCTGGCTGCGAGTTGAGGGGGTGAACGCTGCTCGTTTTTCTTAAATTTTTTTCTGGGACTCCTATTGCGTGGGGTGAAAAACGAACGCGTGTTTCATAGGTCATTAACGTTGGGGATCCGTTTTAAGCGGTATTTGCGCAAAGTACAAAAATTGTTGCATTGCTCCTTTAAGATCGAAACGGGCAGGGGCGGGGTGGGTTCTGCAGCGCGAGCTTTCGCTTCAAGTGCTCCGAGCTGGTGTGCGCTAGACCATGCACTCGGCCACCGACTCCCCCCCTTTCTGCGTCTAATTTATATTCAGGTATAAGTATTTGAAGATCGACGATGGACGTCGATCGTCTCGAGGTAATGTAACGTAATAACATTATATAAATAATAAATTTGCTGAAGGACTGAACGACTCAATTTTTCAATTCTTGGATTGTAATATGGCGGCAGCCTATTGTACTTACTGTTGATGAAGAGCAATACGAGGTGACGAGGTAATGATTAAATGATGAGGCTCTATAAGGACGACGATTTTAGTGGGTGCCGAACCACAACGTACAGTGCCAGACTTGTTTCAAGTATCGTGTACCCAAAGACTTTCTTCACCCGCAACAGAATATGGTAGAATCAATGAGGATGCTGCTTTACAACTGTACGTGGAACAGGAAAACTGCACTGTGCAGAAGTGCGGCTTATTCGTTAATATGAGGGACGGATTTCTAGCAGCATTCCCTGATTGACTACTTGGAACAAATGGCCTCGTTGACGTAAAGTGTCCCCGTTCCAAAAGATTCTTGAAGCGTACTTAAACCACAAAGGAGTATGAGGCGAAAAATAAGAAAAAGGAGCCTGGCGTGAAAGGTCCAAATCACCCACCATGGCTTCTACTATCAAATACAAGGGCAGTTACACAATACACAAAGAGAGTTTTGTGATTTAGTTATATTTACACTCAAGGGCATTGATATCCAACGTATTCAGAGGTATGACACCTTCTGGTCAACCAACGTAGAGCCTTCTCTACTCAAGTTTTACATGGAAGGCCCGACTTCCGTTCCTCACGTAGACGAGTTGTCCGACCGATAAAACTGCCATTACTCCCGAGCTGGGAATCTCTCGATCTTCGTTCGTAGGCCATAGTATCATGAGATCGAGGGGTGTGGCTGTTCGTCCGCCGATTATTGCTTCGGCGTTTTTTTTTACCGCGTAATATGAGACCGTCGCGTGCTGCTGGAACAAGAACCTGGCGATTCTTCACTGAACTGCTTCTTCCGTAAGCTTCAAGAGGGCATTTTTCCGTTTCGCACACCATCTGTTCTGCTTGCCCGTTAGTTGCAGGATGGTATGGTGCACTAATGTGATGCCTGATGCCGGTTTTTTTTTCTTCAAAAACTTGTTTATTTTATTTGAAGCAAGATTTGGCGCGTTATCAGAGAAAAGTAGGTAAAAGAGACCGTAGAACGTCAATGAGGTGTTTGGACGTCGTGGCAGGCGTCGTGT